TGGTGTCATCATAGCTCCCTATGACTGCAAATTTCTGGGCTCAACTAATTCTCCTGCCCCACCCTCCTGAGTAGCTGGGACTACAGGTATGTGCCACATTTATGGGTAATTTTTTTTAGCTTTTGTAAAGATGGGGTCTCACTCTTGCTCAGGCAGGTCTCAAACTCCTAGCCATTAGTGAACCTCCCACCTCAGCCTCCCAGGATGCTCGAATTATCAGCATGAGTTATTCCACCAGGCCTAATTTATAAGATTTGAAAACTCTTAACCACCTCCTCCTCCAAGTGAGAAACAGATGTAATAAATATTCTTTTCTATTTAAGACGTATAGTCGGAACATTCTTTGCTTAAACTTCTCAAAAAATAGAATTTATTTTTTTCTAATAAGGTCTTGGGGATGTTGCAGGAAATGATGATGACTTCAAGATTCCAGAAGGCCTAGAAGCTAATTTGGGTCCAGTGCAAATCATTCTCCAGCTCTTCTTCATGCCACCAGAGTAAAAGAGAGGAATGTGACTATTCATGTGTTCTAAATATACACGTGTGCAAGAATTAGCTTTCCTGATACTGCATGTGCATCTGTTCTACAATATGGTCCACACCCTGCCTGGTATTTCAGAGGTGAAGCAACTGCACTAACTTCAGAGCTGCAAGTGAGGGCCCTGGGAAGCTGCAGGGCTGGCTGTAGAGCACTCACCTCGGAGCGCCACCGTGCCATCCTCAGAGAGTACGTTGGGGTCCAGGAACACTCTGGCCTCGCCCTCTAAGGAATCTTGTACATATAATACTCGTTGGTTCTGCAAACCTGTGTTGTAAAAATAAAAATACCTGGGGGACAGAGGTGGTCTTAATTTAGCTGTGGTGTTTTCTATTTGTGGAGTAAAACCAAACACATATAACCAGAAAACCCAAACAAATCCGAAAACATACCAAGGCCATGACAGTGACACGAGGACTAGGATGAGAGGCCTCACCTGTCCCTGCAGCCACAGCTTATTACCTGCATGGCTCTCTCTATTCAAATAATTTATTGTAATTCTGTGCATTAGCTATGTAGAGACTGAGATTATTTTATTTGTTAAACTTAAAACTGATACTCAAATAAAGCAGTGACTTTTTTATTTGTTTATTTATTTATTTTTCCTTGTTCTTTTAAGAAGGAAACAGATTTTCTAAAATAAAATCCTGGTTCTCTTCCTTAGTTAGGGTGCTCGGGTGGGAGGTGAGCACACTTTCCATGAATGGCGAGCATTTCAGGCCTTGCAGTGAGGGGTGGCTAGACCACTTGACTCGGGGCTGGTGAGCATTTCAGGCCTTGCAGTGAGGGGTGGCTAGACCACTTGACTCGGGGCTGTAGCACAGAAGCATCTATAGATGATAGATACATAAGCAAATGGGCACAGCTGTGTTCGGTGAGACTTTATGAGAACAGGTGGCAGGCAGGGCTTGGCACTCAGACTCCACTTTGCCGATCTCTGTGTAAGAGTAGAGAGAGCCAAAGAAATTCTAAAGTAAGTTTGTGATGGTGGCTCCGAAGAGATTTAAAAAAAGAACAAGAAAGTATGTTTAAGTGGATGTTAAGGGGGAAAAAGAAACAATTCACACTTGCCCGTTTCATCATTCTGCCCTTTTCACCGTTCTTAGAAGGAAAAACTGAATATAATGAAATGCTTTCCAATATTATACATCAAAGATAATTAATTCTGGAGGCAAACAAACCCCCGTGACTGTTTATGAATTATCCTATCTCACCAATTACTAGCCACAAGACAATGAGTTCCCATAATCTAGACTTCCTCATAAGACTTATCTCTACTAAATTTCTTAACCCCTATTTCAAGAATTTGAACCAATACCCAAAAGACCAAAAAACAGCATTCTCTTATTCAAGAACACAAATTAATTCCTTTTAAAATGGATGAATTTTATAAACTGGTAAGGTACTTACAATTTGTATTCTATAACTTAAGAAAGCACATTCATTTGAAAGGACAAAGAAAATTCAAAGGAAAGTGACTTCACATACCGTTTTCCTTTCTTGAAGTGGCAACTATACTTGGGATAGTCATACAGCTCCGTCATCCTCTCTTTGTATAAACCCCTGATAGGGCACTGCTCAAGAAACGGCACGGTAATTTTGTTCTGGGCCTCCACGAAAGCCTGTGGAAAAGTTAAAATGGACAAAGCAAATTCAGTGTGAAATGTTCTATGTGGAATGTTACCCACTACCATGTAATAGTAAAGTACATTTTCTTCTCCGTGGGTGACTCCTGTCTCCCTCACTCCCAGCCTCATTCACCTCCTTACTCTTCTCAGAGCTCCTGCTGAGACGCTGATTTATTAATTATCAATAAGTAATAACTACTGTTTGCGGAGCAAGTATGAACTCATTTCGAACTCACAATAATACTATGAAATAGGTTCTTTTATGTGGCCAACTTTCCAGATGGGGAATCTTGAAAGAAATGAATATAATGAAATGCTTTCCAGTATTAAACATCAAAAATAATTAATTTTAGAGACAAAGTTCTATTACTGTTTATGAATTATCCTATCACACCAATTACTAGCCATAAGACAACCATGATTTTCCATAAAAAAAAAAA